AGCCAATGGATACAAAAGATGTCATTTGTGACTATGTACTAAAAGTTCCCCTCTCCAAAAACCCAGGAGAAGCAAGGTGGGGCGGGAAGAGGCTGAGATATGGAGGAAGTACTGGTAGTGGAGGTCAGATGATGGCCTTGATGACCAGCAGACCTGTCCTGTGCATACTGATGGGCTTAAGATGTACAACTTTACTCCTGTTTCTTCCATTCCCTTGGTGAATGAGGTGGCAGTCAAATAGGACACTGACCTGGGACTCCTTTTGGCAGCATATCACCCAATCAGCTGCAAATATTTTTTTTTCCCCATCTGTACATGTTATGAAACTTCTGATATCAGAAGTCCTCTCTTCTGGAGCCAAAATAGCATTTCCTAGTACTCCCCAAGGCCACATACAGAAAAAGAGACTTCCACATAAATCTTACCAGGCAAGAAACTCCTTTTCGCACCTTCTCAGTTTCTAACTCAGGGGGAGATTGCAACCCTCATAGCACAGTGGTGTTGCCTGGGAAGCTTTTTTAATGCCAATGCCTCTACCTCATTCTGAGATTATGGCTCTGTTGATTTAGGGTGGGCCTGAGTCTTTTCTGTTTTTGCTTGTGTTGGTTTGCTTGTTTTTAGGCTCCTTGGGTTCATTCAGAACTACAAAGCACTGCCACATAGGAACTTATTTTAAGTTTCCGTTCCATAGTGAAAGGAGGGAGTTAAGCTGCAAGTGAGTGAACAGGAGAGCAAAGAGAGAAGGCAGTGGAGTCCCATCTTTAAGCATCCTAATCCCTTTGCCATTCCAACATGGAGGCATCTCACGTCAATTGTCCTTCCTTTTTGTGAAGGAAAAATGGGGTTGTTAGGATATACCCACTGCAGAATATCTCTTTTATCCCCTTAGCTCATGCCACCTAAAGATTAGTAAAATATGACAATAGACTAGATATAATTAAAGGGTAAGAACTCTTGGTAGCACCCCAGGTTCTGTTTTATATGCAAGCTAGATGAAATAGCTAGCAATTATCTCACAGAGCCTAAACAATGAGAAGGATGATGGCATTTGTCCTTCACATGCTTTGTTCACTTTGTAAGACCCCCCCAAATCCTTGCTAAAAGGACTTGAAACTATTGATTTGGAAGCACAAGCAAGACAAGGCTTTCTTATTCAGCTACAATCATATTTCTTTGTGATAGGCCTTTTTAAGCTTGGGAGCATTTTACATTTTAAATGAATGTCTTCATTTGTGACGATGTGAATGTTCTATAGCAATTAGTTTAGGATACTAAAGCCACACCCAGCTTCCACTGTCTGTGGGGTACAAGGCATACCGACTAGTTTGTTGGTATTTTCATTCCCTGTCAACTCTAGAAACTCACTTTGATGATGAATGGAGTATTTTCAAAATAGTGTCCATAAAACAGGTGGCAATACGTTGACTTTTCAAAGGAAATAATTACATGCAGGTGGCAGTTGGAGGAACCCAACCGTGTATAGAAATGTATTCTAGAACGTTCTTGTAATGTATTTTCTGAGGATAAAGTTACTCGTGTGATGAACAGTGACCTGGCAGAACAGAAACAGGACAGGAAATGAAGAGAGCAGATCCTTCAGTACACTTCAGAGCTGTTTCTTGGTTGTTCAAAATCACTAACGTATATTAGTAAACAAGTCTTAAAACACACACTCATCATTTAGCTATTTAACAAACAAAAATACCATCCTGCATTGTATCCAACGCGTAGCATACAAAGATGAACACATAGAACCTCTGTACAGGTGTGCATAATCTATAGAAGGAAATAAACATGAAAGTCAGTTTTTAAAAGACAATGTGACAAGGTTATGATAGCTTGTGAAATTCATTATTGTGAAATTATCATTTAGGATATTGTATGCTAACTACATCAGGGAAAGCTCTCTATCCAAGACTTGGGGGAAAAAAAAACATAAGACTCAGTAACAGGAATACTATGTCTACTCTGAATGTCTTGGGTTTAACTTAAATACTCTGAAGAATATAACCAGTTTTTCTCTCCCATTGAATTGCAGCTTGAAAGCTCAAAGCTAATTTATAACATAATGCTAGTAAACAAGAGCCTATACGATCAATTTTGTCTATTGATCTTCTACCTAGATTCAACTAATGTCACCCTGATTTTGTTTACTTTCTGTTGTTTTTGTTCCTTAAAAGTGCTGCAAATCCTCCTAATAATGAGACAGGTTATAAGAAAATAAATAAATAAACTGTGAAAAGAAAAGTCTGTTCAAGGTTTTATGAGAGCCAAGGGAAAGAGTGTAACATAGGCTGGCCGCGTTGCTAGGGGAGGTAGGGAAGGAGTCCTAGCACAGATGGGAAAAGCATCATCATAATAATGACCCTGACAGCAGCCCTTGTTAATAATAGTAATAAAGAATAGCTAGACCTTGAAGAATAAACAATAACTAGACCTTCCAATTGTGGGGTCCTCCCTATGGATCTGTGCTTTGCAAACATTATTTCTCTGATCTTCACAGCAATCCCAATAAGCAGATATTAATGTCCTCATGTTCCACACGAGAATACTGATGCTTCTGGAGCTGAGTAATTTGTCCATGATGCCACCTCACACCCAGTTGTCTTGCTTCAAGCGCTGCCATATCGCCACCCTGCAATTCACGTGGAAGGATAAGGGGATTGACACGGTGTTGTCGACCAGAGTAGCTCCGAGTATGTCCAAAAGGGGTGTGGGGTCTTGCAGCCGAAGGGGAAGCTACAGAGATAAGGAAGGGCAAAGCCAGGAATAATACTTCTTTAGGTAATAGGAAGATTTCAAAGGATTTTAATAAGAGGGTTACACGAAAGTGGAGAAAAGGCAAGAGAGGCCTCAAACTCTGATCCTTCTGAAATCCGGTGGGGCTGTCAGAGTCTCCCGGGCAAAGAAGCTTTGAAAGATCACATGCCATCGTTCACGACGCGCCACACATCACGGTGACTCCTTGGTGCACAAGAGCATTACAGTAGTGTTTACTTCCAATGGGAAATAATTTTACGTAAGACAGATTTACTTTGAACTCCAGCCTGGTGACTTCCAGTACCAAGGGAGGTTGTCATAAAGCACCCTCTTCCTAAATAGCATCAGAAGCAATGTTAGAGAAAGGACCTCATGCTCTTCAATGCCCCCCAGCTCATAAAGCCTCTCCTCTGGACTCAAAACGCTGACAGTGATGGTGATGAGAACGCGGTGATGGTGGGGGCAGGTGGCTCCTACTAGTTACTAAACCAGCATTCATTTCTTCCTCGAACCCTCACAACCTCCCCAGGAGGAAGGCAACAGTATGTCCATATGACAGATGAAGGTTTAATCACACAGCTAATCAAGGGGTAGAGCTAGATTTTGAATCCAGGGCCAATGGACTCCAGAGCCTGTGTGGCAGGCAGCTACCCTACCCTGCCTCCCGCGAGGAAGTAATTAGATACTGCAGTCATCTTATCATGTTTCTGAAGACTGCTTTTCTGTCTCGCTAGGAATTATCTGATTTATAATAATAGAAAATTGGTTGTTGAGACTTTGCTTCTTTTTCCTCCTTTTCTTTCTTATGCGTACTTTTAGAAGACATAATGAGAGGATTCCGTGTGTGTGTGTGTGTGTGTGTGCGCACACACTAAATATGTGTGCAAATAGGGAGCCTGGGTGGCTCAGTTGGTTGAGCATCTGCCATCTGCTCAGGTCATGATCTCAGGGTCCTTTAATCAAGCCCTGCATCAGGCTCCCCGCTCAGCAGGGAGTCTGCTTGTCCCTCCCCCCTCTGCCCCTCCCCTTCCTGCTGATTCTCTCTCAATCTCCCTTTCTCTCTCAGATAAAATCTCAAAAAAAAAAAAAAGTGTGCACTTGCCAGTGATAACTCATACATTGAAAAGAGAAGGTGTGTAGATAAGAATTGCATTTTAGAAATAGACATGGTCAGATCCCAGCCTTGCCACTTACTGGGCGTGAGATTTAGACCTCCTGTGTGTCAGGCTCATTGCCTTTAAAATAGCAGTGTTTCCAACTGAAGACTGTTGCTTAACTACACTGAGAAAATATATCTGTATACTTAGCACAGAGTTAAGTACTCAGAATTGTTCATTCGTCTTCTAACTCCTCTTTGGTTTTTAGGCTTTCCTACCATAATCCAATTTCTGTTTGTACAAAGAACAAAAACCAGTGTGTATGCCAGCCCTCCCACGGGGGCATTTATATCCTAGAGAAAGAGCTATGTGTCACTGCCACTAGGCAACATTGTTGGTTCTTACCCTCTCCACGGACAAGGAGCTCTAAATTTCATACATGAATTCATTAGACTGTAAGGAGACTGTAAGGGATCCTTATGCTATCAGCCCTCAGGTTAGCTGATCCACAGCTGTTTCAAGCCACTCGGAGTCTGCTATCTATGAGTTTATCATCTCATGATGTCAAATGTGAATACCCTCCTTTTGATTGACATGAGCATCAACCCCCCTACAGGTATTCTACGACTTCTGCAAATATCCTTGGGAGTCTTTCCTTCTCTATCCCAGCCCTTCAGTCCAGGTCTGTCTGACTCTAAAAAGTGTGGATGCTGGTTGCTAGTCATCAGTGGATTTAACTTATCTTGTTAGATATGGGGACTTTGCAAAGTTTAGATGATACTCTTTGCAACACAATTTGGTATAAATTTCATTTGCTGACCATTTATTTTGATGCATCAAACTCATCCAAACTAACACAGGAGACCAGAAAGCAAGTGTCATTTTAGTTCTTTTGGCGGAGTCGTGCATAATTTAAATACAATAACGTATGATCGAGGCGTTGAGAACTCTGCTCCTATCACCGAAATGTGCGCTGTACACAGGCCAGCCCCAGCAGAGGCCTGACCTCATGCCTGGTGGGGCATTTGACAGCTCACATAAGGTGTCCCTCCCTTGATCACCTGCTCTCTTGTAGAGCTCTACATATGTTCTCTTAAATGACTTTGCCCCACTGTTATCCTAATTTGAAATTTTATTCTTCAGCCACATAAATAGAAGAACACAGTTTGAAAACCCCGTCCTGGAAGCAAAAAGGAAGCTACAGCAGCATAACATGCCCCACACAGAACTTGGAACAAAGCCCCTGCAGGCCCCGGCTTTCCGAGGTGAGTACCATGTCCACCCGCCACAGTTCAAAGGGAAAAATGATCTACCAAACTGCCTGCTCTTCCAAATATGCCTTTAGCTGGGACTGTTTCAAATAATCAATCTGCTTTCCCCAAACCCCCTCTCTTAGCTTTAGCTGGATGTTTGCTCTGCTCTGTGGATTAAGTTAAAGCCTCTGGTGGTACCTCATAGGAATGTGCAGCAAGGTGCCAGGTGGAGATTCGTGGGTTTTGACAGTAGTGCTTACTGTAAAGTGCAGATTCATAGAGACTCCTAGGTTTGTACTCAAAAGACTACGCACAAGAATAAGGCTTGTTTTCCTTTGTGACAGTAGACGGCTCCTGGTGGACATTACCTAAGCCCACCTCCACCCGCTCCCGCGCGTTCCCTGAGAGGTCGCGCAGTGCGAATGACTTGTCTTACTGTCCACGGGACCGCACCGGGAGGCCCTGGCCCTTCGGTACGTCCGTCCGTCAGTCCAGGGCTGCCTGCTGCCCTTGCCCACACCTTGGAGCCCCGTAGTGGGATGAGTTGCTGCACAAACTTTTCACGTCTTGTGGGCTCTTACTCATAAATGAAAGCATGACTACCACACCCCTTCAGCACAAGTGCTATGAATGTAAAGGTCTCATGGTAACTTCTCTCCGACCGTAAATGTTACATTCATAAAGGAAACGTAGATGGCAAGGCCATATGCATTTTTCATTTGCATTTTAAAGGAAAAAATGTAAAATAAACTTAAATATAAAATAGAGAATGATTATATTTAATTTTTTTAGTGCAGATCTATGTGATGTATAAATACATGAAGTAAAATTCTAGTATGATGACTCATTGTATCTATTACATATCACCCAAGATGTAACAGCAGCAAAAGCACCAAAATACTTAGCTAAGTTCTTATGTGCAGTTTGGCTGTTGCAAACATCAAATCATATCACCGAAAATGTAATGACTGAATGTATGCATGTATGCACATGTATATACTTCGTGTGTGTGTGTATGTATATATACACACTTGACTGAGAGAGCACTTAAAGCAAATATTAATTCTATTTCCTAGCATGACTGTTATTTTTAAAGCATTTAATATGCTTAGGAATATGTTTATTACAGATCATAGCTGGAAAAGCATATTATGTAACAAACTAGGGGTCAAACCTAAATGAGTGGTTCCAAATTATGGTCAGATTATTTAGGTATAGGATTTGGATGTATCAACATATTGTTACAAAATGTGTTACCTTTACATTCATAATGATATATAGAAATGTTGGCTTGCTTTTTCCTCACATTTTAGAGTATACTAAACACTTTGAGGTCAGTAGAACTTTATCTAGTTATCTTTATAGCATCTCACAATATAAGCAAAAGTTAACTCAGTCCCACATCCAGGTGATCCTTCTAAATAGTTTAGATATTTGAATAGATGGTAGCATTCCATGGGTCTTATTCTTTTAAAAAATAAAACAGTCCATCCTGGTTTTCCAGTTTGATCCCTTCAGAGTTTTGTGCAGGACCAGCCACTCACTCATACCTCCTGCTTGGATTCCTTTAGAGCAAGACGAAAGTATCCAGATGTGTCTGGATGATTTGGACTCCTCTTTATCTATAGGCTTTGACGGCCTGTTGATCTGGCCATTTTTAAAAAGCCCAAGAAGGGCTAATTCGGTGAATGCAAACACTGACTTGACCGAAAATCTACAAACCACACAGCTTTTCACCTTTCCTGGATGCTTGGGACTGCTCTGTGTTTGCAGGAAGTACTAAAAATTCAGCTCCTGCAGTCACCACCTGCTTGCTTTTACTACCGGAGACACCCACACTTACCCCCTGGGATGGCTGCTCAGGAGCTGGCTTTCCCCTGTGTAAGAACTTGCCTTAAATATGCTTTTTCTTTTTTAACTTATATTGGCCAATGTAGAAAAACCACTCTTCACCCGGGATGCATCCCAGTTGAAGGGAACATTCCTCAGCACCACCCTAAAAAAGAGCAACATGGGTTTTGGATTCACCATCATTGGTGGAGATGAGCCTGATGAGTTTCTGCAGGTGAAAAGTGTGATTCCAGATGGGCCTGCAGCACAGGATGGGAAAATGGAAACAGGTAAGGTCCTTACTGCTTTAGAAATTTGTTTTACAATATCTTTCTTCCCGGGGGGGCCCCCCTCCCTGCCCCAAAGCAAATAGGAGGAGCTTCTTTCTGTGTTTTTAATTTGAAGGTCAAAGATCACTTCACTTTAGGGAAACCAGAAATTATGTTTCTCCTAAGTTTAGGAGTATCAAATTGAAGTATTTTGGAAATAGCTCTAACTATCATTTTTGTCTCATTTTTCAGACTGGCCCTTCTACTTGCTGGATTTAATGGGCTCTTGAGATTGACACTTTTCTAATTTATTTTTAGAGTTCCTTCTTAGAGATGTGATTAACGTTTCATACTATTCTACCTTATATTCAACCATTGATATTTTAAAATTTGTATTAATCTTGTGATAGTCTCATGCTGAATTGCCCAGGTTAGATATTTAAATATGCATGCTCCTCTCATAGAAACAAATTTTGAATGGTATTCATCTTTATATGTCCCCATCAATGTTTTAATATCTAAGGGTTTTTTCTGTAGTTCTTATGAATCAATTTTCACATGCAGTTGCTTGGATGTCTATCAAATTATAATCAAAATTCATTTAACATGGAGATATGGAGGCAAATTGTTAAAGGCACAAAAGCATAAAATATGAAAGGTCCACAGGGGTAGAGAAAAAAGTAATGAACTAAGTCTGGTTTTGCAGTTTGATTTTAAATTCTCCTACCTGGCCCATGACCTTGGATTAATCCCATAACTTATAAATGCTAGTTTCCTTATCTGGGAAAAAAACAAGAAAAGAAGAAATCAGATTTAATCTTGTGTAGTTAAAATACTGATTCAAGAATTTTGTAGCGTTGTTTTTGAAATACGTTAGAAAGAATATTATAAAGTGCAGTAACTGTATCTCCAAAGAACCATATCACCGTTAACACATTTTTCACAGTGTGGATTTAATTTATGATATCAACTCGCCAAAGTTAATGTGCCCTAGTAGATATACAAATTAGAGAATTACTTTTGAGGAAAAGTTATCACATCTATGTGGTCTGTATATGTGTGAATTGTTGTATTACCATTTAGTAAATGGTTCCTCCAGAAATAACTGCTTTTCAAGGTCACCTAATGAATATATTTGTCACTCGCACTCACTAGTGGATAATAATCCATTTAATAGGTGTTACATCTCCTTCAAAGTTGAGCGAAGTTTGAAACTAAGCCACCACATTTTTCAAACTCTACAGTTGTAAAAATCATGTGTACATAATTTTCTGTAAGTTAAGTTAGAGCATGTCCAACTCTACTGTTCATCTGGTGATATTTTACTAAACATCCACACCTTCATGTTGCCAAAAAATCACAGAGAAACATCAAATGACTCAACTAAAAATCATCTTACTGCCTACAATTAGCATAAGAGGAAATTATAGAATTAATGCCATCTTAGTAGAGGGACAGGGATCCCCAAAGCTTTTGAACTTCAGTGAAATACTTAATAAACCTATTTCTTTTCATAATAAGGAATAGTTATTTTTTTTCTCTGATCCAACCCATTATTCCATGTTTCAAAACTAGAGAAGACTTTTTTCAGTGTAAACTTAAAGCAAAAAAAGACATTTGCACAGCAAGGCTTTTTCCCTTCCTACTCATTCTGCTCGTTTGGTATAACACACACACACACACACACACACACACACACAGTCTAAGCTTTTATTTGGAATTTAGCAGATTTTCTTCATTTAACATAATCACAAAACAGGTCCTAACAGAAAGAAGAACCTAGGATTTAATGCTATCCACTGTCTCGAATTTATTCCTATTCATTCATTCATTCATTCATTCATTCAGGAAACATGTGTTCAGCTCCTCACTTTCACAAACATCACAGTCCATAAGGGCAACAAAGATGGGTAGAACAAGACCCGGCTCTCAAGGGGTTTACGTCTAGGAAGGGCCTCCAATAGATAAACAGGTAGCTGTAACACAATATGAGTAGGTTGACTCTGCGATAACCCTGAGGTTGGCACGAAATCAAGAGAGTGGGAGGAGGAAGGAACAGAAATGTTTAAAAAGAGAAGTGTGTTCCTCACCATGTAATCTTATTGGGCTTTTATAGAAGTGATAATTTCTCTCATCAGAAAAGAATGCCATAAAAGGTTGAAATCTACTGCTTATAAAATACTCGGGAAATTTAAATGTTTATTTTTAAATGTGAGGTAATGTAAAATAAAATGTAAACACATTTCTGTGGTATTCCGTAAGTAGTAATAGGAATGGCTGCTCAGGTCATTCAGCTAATATTTTATGAATATCCATACGTCCCAGGCATTCTGCTAATTATTAGGGATGCAAAAAGGAAGAGACAGATGTTTCTATCCTTAAGAAGCTTACGCTATAGAAATAATGAGTAGTGAGTTAATGAATATTTACATCAATGCAATAATAAAAAATATGTACAAAGTCCAGAAATAAGCCAGAGGAATGGGAGATTGAGTCCATTGGGAGGTGCTTAGGGAGGGCCCTGTAGGGAAGATGATGCCTGACAGACTGTTGAATGATGAAGAGGTGTTTGCTAGGTAGACAAGTAAGGCAAGCCACAGGAAGAGGAAACAACAAATGCAAAGGCACAGTAGTGGGGAATACCTAGATAAAGATTTCTATGCCATCACAGCCTATGGCAATATTCCAACTTCAGTAGGTATTCATGTGAACCATCAAATAAAATGATAATCATAACTGGTAAAGATGAACTATTATGACATGTAGGAAATATCAAAGAATAGTATGTAGTCATATATCCTCAACTAAAAAACATAGATTTCATAAATGCATGAATACTTATATATAAAATCTTTCTCATACAAATTTCTCATATAAATTTCCAACCAATTAGGCATAGAGCTTTACTCTACTGGCTGATGTTTTCTTGATTTGTGTGTCCCTAGAACCTGAAACAGTGCAAGGCAAAGAGCACGTGCTCAATAAGTATTTGTTGGATGGTTGGATGGATGGATGGATGGACTGACTGTTGGATACAGTTAGAAATTAAGAAGTGAAATTTGAATTGGCTGAATTCCACTTAAACAGCATAGCCTGGTCAATGCTAATTGGACCAATAGCTTACCATTAAAGCAAAAACAAACCAACATTCCAGTTTCTAGAGGGAATTAAAAAGACAAAAACATGTTAGGGACAAAATTAATTTCCTTTTTTGTAATGACTTCATCTATAAGTGAGCCTTAAGATTTTTTTTAAATAGACACTACAGATAGAGTGATAAATCATTGGTATTTAAAAGGTGTGTGGTCTCAGGGCGCCTGGGTGGCTTAGCCAGTTGAGCGTCCCACTCTTGGTTTCAGCTCTAGTCGTGATCTCTGGGTTGTAGGATCAGCCAGAGTCAGGCTCCAGGATCAGTGGGGAGTCTGCTGGAGAGTCTCTCTCTTTCCCTCAGCCCCTCCCACCACTCCTGTTCTCTCTGTCTGTCTGTCTCTGTCTCTCTCTCAAATAAATAAAAAAATCTTAAAAATGGTGAGTGGTCTCATTTGACATTGAAATATGCATGAAAATACTTGAATCTATTTTTCTAGCTCTAGGTTATCTCTAATTTAGGCAAAGAAATGTCAATAGTTTGTGTGGACACAAAGAAAGATCCACTCCACTAAAAAGTTGACCAAGGGTCCTACACAGTAAAAACAAGAGTAGGGTGGGAATTCTTTCTTTCTCAGTCAGCACTGATTCATGGGAAGGGGTAGAGAACAGGGGAAACTGAGGACACTGTGCCCCTGGCTGCTTTTTGAAAACTAATTGAGCCAATCCCCAATGGTCCTATAATGTTCCAGAAGAAGCTTTCTTCGAAGAAATTACCATGGCGCCCAGAAACCATCCAACGTCTGATTATTAAGTATTCTGCACATCCTGGCAATCATCTGTAGGCACCAGAGATCCTGGTAATATTCTTTAAACTATTTTTAAAATCAAGATTGATATACTAAGGCTTACATAGAAACTGCCAAGTCTTGAGAGTTGTTTATCTAGCATCCTTCAGTTAAAAAGCTTCTCTTGTTACATGATGTTTCCTGTTTTTCCCGAGGCTAATTTTTGAATCGCGTCTTGAGGTTTTCAAGAAATATAAGAGGGAGGAAAGCTGGCCTATCTGTGAAGTTCTTCTATAGGTAGGGGTTGAATTATGAGGTCACTCACAACCTATTAGATTTTATTTGCCCTCTTCTAAAACATATCCGTGTTATTAGTAAAATGGCAAGAAACTGGGAGACTAGCATCCTGACATTCCCTAGCTCCTGGCATTTCTCCATTTCAGCAGATCACTGTTACTGCCCTTTTGCTGGTTGCTACCTTGTTCTTTGTGTTTCTGGAAGTAGAGGCATAAGATTATTTTTGCAAGAATCACCTGGGGAGCTTTTTAAAGATGCAGATTCCTGTGCCCCTGCGCCTACTGATACCCAATTTCTGGAAGTGGTTTTTTGGGCATGTGCATTTATACACTTTTAAAAATTATCAAATCAATTCATGCATGTGGAAAAAAAATCACATCAAAATATTTGAAATGCATAAAATATCTCCTGTCCTGCTCCTCCCCACCTCCAGGCCCCTATCCCAGAGGCACTCCATCAGTTTGTATTCTTAGTGATGGTAAATACCTTCACACCTCCAATTAATGTGTTTATACTGTTGTCTTGATTTAACAGATTTAGACATGACCTATATTTACTTCCTCTTAGAAAGAAATGAAGATTTAGCTCTCGTCTCCCATCTGCCTTCCCATATTTTCCCAATAGAATTTTACAACTAATTTTAGTAATATTGTACAGTTTTTGCATTACCGTGGCTTTATAAATTTATTCACTGACCCCAGCAGTGTACCATTAATACCTTTTTCCCCTTAAACAGCTTTGTGGAGTTCTGCTTTGTCTTTCTCTCTGTCTTGCAGTATCTTTCTTAAGATAGTGATTTGTTTTTCCTCCCAAAGCACCATCACATTAGGTCCTCTAGTGGGTCTTCTT